AGAGAGAGAGAGAGAGAGAGAGAGAGAGAGAGAGACACCCTCACATACTGTGGTGTAAAAGAATCAGTTGACACCGGCAAGTCTGTACTGAGAAAAATCTGACCCCGCACCGACCTGACTAGATTCACGGGACTTTGAGAGACCCGTGCACTCACGAGTGAGTTCAAGAAGGGAGGGAGTCGATCGGGCCGTAGAGCAGTGGCCAAGGCGGCGTGGAAAGAAACTGGCCACCCTACCACAATATGCCGAAGGCCCAGGAAGTTGTCTCACTGATAAGGCAATCCCTAAAGGCCGGATTGGATGCGGGAACAGCTTTTATTTATTTCTTTTTAATAAAACCCAAAAGGAGTTTTTCAAGAATTTTTTTTCGTGAGGCATCGTAGTGAAATCAGACGTCCGTCAACCCCCCCCCCCAAAAAAAAAAAAAGAAAGAAAAAAACAAGAAAAGAAAGAAAAAAAAAACAACTAAAAAAAAGAAAGAACTGACGAGCGCCTGATTCCACCACGTAATATTGTCGGGCCGAGATTTTAGCCCTTCACATCCTCAAAACCTGACCAGAGGTTTTGGGGACTACTCTTTGGCCAACTGATTGTGCACGGGTTTCAGTTTTTCCCCGTGCACTGGTGAGTACAAACTAGACCGACCGGACCTGAACACTCAACGGGATATAAAATAATATAAGAAAAAGCGTCAGTCCTACCGAGAGTAGAGACAAGACACATCAGTCGCCGGGCGCCCGGGGACCCACTAGATCTACGTCTTACGACGACTCAAGTATTGGAAGTGAAAGGTAACACCGTTCGTACACAGACGTGGCAGAATGTGGCTCCCCTTGAGAGAAAGCTCTATGGCAGTCTCTCAAATTTGAAGCGGACTGCACAGTTTGTGCGCGACATCGGACTGACTGTCTAGCTGCTGTCATCGAGAACGAGGAAGAAGACAAAAAAAGGTAACATTAGTTAAAACTACAGTCTTTACAAACATCGGTTAGAAACAGCAGCACCGAGACATTTATTTTTATTAATGCATATTTTGTTAATAAAGAAACGAATGGTTGCCTTACTTAGGCTCAATGTATAAGACCAGTAATCGCACACTCGACCCAACGCATTTTCACGAATAACACTTATGCAAATGAGCTGGGTGAGTTCATTATTCTGTGCTGCTGACCTCACTCCTATTACAACTACGATAATTGTAAAATGATGTTTAGTGGGTGGTTGGCGGGTTCTCTGGTGTGGTTTGCTCCTTCTTTCCTATCAAACATCTATTGCCCTGACCTCTCCTACTTCCTTTCTGTGTTTGTTAATCTCTTGTAACACCTCTAATCTTCGTCATTTATATGACCTTATTGTGTTGCAAGTGCGGTAAAACACTATTTTTAAAGGTAATTTTTTAAATGTGAACATTACTAACCCCCATTGTTCGTCTGTTTCTCTGTTTCTCAGTTCCTATTCCCAGACAGCTGCATCTCGTCACGCCGTCTAGGAACTGTTTCAGCTGTAGTTTACAAAACAAAACCTATTGCAGTTTCTTTTATTCTTTTTTTTTTGTTCGGCTTTCCTTGGAGGTCTATAAATTATGTCTCTCTCTCTCTCTCTCTCTCTCTCTCTCTCTCTCTCTCTCTCTCTCTCTCTCTCTGTCTGTCTCTCTCCCTGTCTCTCTATCTCTCTCCTTCTCTCTGTGTCTATCTCTCTTTGTCTCTCTCTCTCTCTCTCTCTCTCTGATTCTCTCTCTGATTCTCTCTCTCTGTCTCTCTCTTTGTCTCTGTCTCTGTCTCTGTCTCTGTCTCTGTCTCTCTGTCTCTCTCTGTCTGTCTCCCTCTGTCTCTCTCTCTCTTTATCCCTCTCTGTGTCTCTCTCTGTCTCTCTTTGTCTCTGTCTCCCTCTCTGTCTCTCTCTTTGTCTCTCTCTGTCTCTCTCTGTCTCTCTCTGTCTCTGTCTCTGTCTGTCAGTCTGTCAGTCTGTCTGTCTGTCTGTCTGTCTGTCTGTCTGTCTGTCTGTCTGTCTGTCTGT